GCCCCCTGAGCTCTCCCGGGTTCACAATGTGTTTCATGTATCTATGCTGCGCAAGTACAATCCGGACCCTTCTCATGTCGTGGCTCATGAACCGCTTTCACTCCGAGAGGACTTGTCTTATGAAGAAGTACCGGTCAGTATCACGGACCGAGAAAGCAGAATACTCCGTAACCGGGAAATATCATTTGTAAAAGTCTTGTGGCAGAACCACACGCCTAGGGAGGCGACTTGGGAGCTGGAATCAGAATTTAGGGCCAAATATCCTCATCTGTTTGATCAAGAGTACTGAGGCAAATTTGGGGACCAAATTTCTTTATGGGAGGGAGAGTTGTAGCACCCGGAAAGGAGGAAAAAAAAAAAAAAAAAAAAAAGCCACGCCAGCAGCCACGTCAGCAGGCCCGGTCAGCAGTCCCGGCCAACCGGGGCCTGCCACGTGGCAAGACCACGTCACTCCGAAGGGTAGCCACGTTGGCGATCCGCGTGGGTGAAATCCGACGGCCCAGATCAATCGCGCGATCGGACGGCCCAGATTAAAACAAAATGGACGGCTGAGATCAAAAGGCAATGGGTTATAAATAGAATCCCCACACCAGACCACAAACCCTAGCCGCCTGCCGCTCGCCGGAGAAGACGAACCAGAGGTCGATCGCCGCCGCACCGGGGAAATTTCCGACCGCCGATCGAGGTAAATTTCATACCCCCGACTCGTTTTTCCACGTTGATTCCTCCTATGACCAAATCGAAGCTGAAATCCCGGCCAAACGGCCGGAATACGCGGCCGAAGACCAGCGGCGCCGCCGCGCCCCATCTCGGTTTTTGCCTCCGACGAGGCCCTTCCCGGCCTCCGTTCGATGCAATTTTTATATCACCGTGATCACCATTCTTTTCTCTACAGGTTGACCGGAGCCGAATCACCAAAACACGAACCTCGCCGGAGAGCCGCCGCACCCGAGAGCGCCGCCGCCGGTAAGCTCCGTTTTTCCGTGATTTTTTGGCCCCCCGAGGGCCCTAGGGTTGTTTTCTCACAAGGACCGATGCGAGTGTGGCCGAATTCGGCCGAAAACAGCCAACCCGAGGCGACTCGCCGCCGCCAGCGGCGGCGCCGTCGCCGGAGCACGGCGGAGCCGCCGTGCCGGAGTTGCGATTTGGGCCGAAAGAGGCCCTGGGCCTAATTTGAGTTTTTTTTTGGAACACGTGCAGGTACTGTTAGTGTGTTTCAGTTCCCCGGGAAAAATTCAAGGAAAATTAGGGACGGCCTGCAGGCGCACTGTGAATCGTATTCGGATCCCGAAAACAAGTAAGGACCCCCTCACCCTATTTCCTATCACGGTATTTAAAGTTCAAAATGATAAAACGGTATTTCTTGAATTAACGAATGTGTGACATTGCTTAAGGTGGCTAATGGAGCCCGAGTCTAGTGTGATTGGTGATTTACTGTTATTTGGCCTGTTTACTGCTTTAAATGCAAAATGAGGTTTGATGTGTTCATTTTACAGATTTGTGTGCATATACTACGTTTTTATTAATCATGGGTTGAATGACTGAAAAACTGATACTGTATGTTGTCTGTTTGGCATGAATTACTGTTTTGCTTGTTTGTATGTGAATTGATGATGCTGACTGAGGAAAAGGAAAATGAAAGATTGTGTAGACTGATAATTGTATTATGGGGGTCAGCCTGACTAGATATCCTGGGAGATGGTGGACGGACCGGGTCCGTAGGGAACCCTACCGGGATTGTGGTCTCACATGCCGGACGGGGTATGGGGATCTTATGGTTTTGGCGCCCATACCGGACGGGGTATGGGGACGGCCCGTTTCACCCTCATACCGGACGGGGTATTGAGGTTTATGGTTTTGGCGCCCATACCGGACGGGGTATGGGGACGGCCCGTTTCACCCTCATACCGGACGGGGTATTGAGGTTCATGGTTTTGGCGCCCATACCGGACGGGGTATGGGGACAGCCCTGGAAACTGATTATGAATGTTAAAGGTTAACGGGTAGCGGAACCCCTATGGATCCCCACGGATACTAGTAGGCTGGTAAATGAGAAAAAGATATGTTGTACAATGATTGAATTACAAGAGGCGTGATAAGTGTTATGTTTTACAGCTTATATTATTCAATGATTATGATAATGTTATTGTTTTTCTTATATTGTTTTCATAAATTCCACCGAGGTAAGTGGATGGTAAAGGTTTTCATGTTAATAAACGAGTTTGTTGTAAATTATACTCCATTGGTCTTTTTGTGTTTTTCTACCCACCTTTACCTCCGTGACGGTGAGATATCGTGATATTCTTACTGGGCTAGTGTAGCTCACTCCTTATTTAACCATTTCAGATCAGGAAGACATGGTTCCCGAGCCCGTTCCGCAGGAGGACGACGAAGGGGATGCCTAGAGACTCTGTAGTCATACTCATAGTTTTATTTTCGAGTTTCTCTTTTAGTTAGTTTAATCTTTTATATTTTAAGTACGTTTTTGGTTTTTCGTGTAAGGGATGTTAACTGAAATTTTGATCTCGCTTCCACATTTGATATATTTAAATACTCATTTCATTTTAATATTTCCGGGGCCGTTACATTTGTGACCGTGAAAGTATGTCCTACATTAGTGATTATCAGTTGAACCAAGTCTAAATAAAGTTCAGACAAGCTGAAGGTTAATCATGATATTTTGTTTGCATAATACGTTGCTATTGGTTAGGTACTCACAAAGTTCAATTGCAGGTCAGGTAAGAACTACCAGTAGTAACTAAGCAATATGGACATTAGAAAAAGAAAAAAAAAGCAATATTGATATTGAAACAAATCAATTTCTCACCAACAAGCAGACCATCGAACATCAGAAAAGTGAATATTTAACTGATCTTCACCTCTTCCTGTATGATAACAGCAATTCTGCAAATACAAAAATCTCAGACAGACCAATGGCAGAAACTAATCTCTAAGTAGTGATCAAGCTAAAAAGCATATTAAAAAATCTGTAAATATGACAAACAGAAGTCCATAAATATAGATACCTCTGTCTGACATCACGGATGCTCTCAAGAAGCTCCACTGTTTGTTGCACCTTCAAATTTTTTGGCCTCTCATCATGATTCAGTACCAAGGTTGAGACATTTAAAATGGTGTCAAGTTCAGTTTCAATTTTTTCAAGTTGTTGATCCAAATGTTCCAAGAATTTCTTATACGAGGAGACTCCTCCTGAGCTAGAGTGTATGTTATCTTCATCAGAAAGAGCCATATTAAGAGATCTTTGAACATTCTCCAATCCTTCATTAATGTAAAGGTCTGCTTGACTGTTTGCAGTGAGATACAGTTTTTTATTGTCATTGAGTTTGCAGACATTCTTAGTCTCGTTATCTTCAGGAAATTCATGCTTCGGAGATATGATCCGAACTGGAACGGAATCATCTTCTCCATTGACTTCAAGATCCAAAGCAATAGTACCAATAAGCTGAGTTTCCTTGAGCGATATTGCCTGAAACCGAACTAGGCTACTCAGCATACCAAGAAAATCATGGTCTTGAACAATATAGAACTACAGACAATTAACAGGAGTAGGAAAAGGGAAAGAGTATTAGCACAAGAAACATTGCACTAGGTGCAGTTGTTAGATTTTAAAACTTAACACCAATTTATAGTAGCTGCTGCAATATCGCCTAAGTCAGTAATAGCGAAAAATTGTAAAAATGGCCTATGAAAACAGGATTCTCATATGTTTTGTTTAATATTAGATACTGCGCCACGAAAATATTAAGTTTTTTTCTCCTTTTTTACTTTTCACAGGAAAAGAAATGTTTTTAGATAGAATTGAAAGGTCAGTACAGGAGTGATGGAGGACTGGGGTCCTCCAAAAAAAGAAGAAAATACAAAAAACAGAAATGGCATAAATATAAAACCTCCGGCCAGTGTCTTTGTAATAAAGAAAAAGAAATATCTGTGTAAGTTATAAAGCTAATGAGCCTTAGCTCAAAGAGATGGAGAAAAGCTCAACTTATCCCAAAGGAAAAATAACAAGAAAAAACGGTCCTTCAAAAGTCCAGAATCTCTGCAATCACAACACCCACCACCTGGCGAAAGGTGCCCCCTCTACAAAGTT